TATTAGTTGATTAGAGATCCATGGTGAAAAACAAGTAATTTCCTGTTTTTTGTTGTTTTTCCTCCAAATTTTGCAGCCCTAAAACATTATTCTAATAACTTTTTTCAAATAACTTTTTCCGCCATCTAACCCCACTTTCCATATCTAAATTTACCGCCACAACAGTGATCCCGTGACCAATGTCATAATGTACTTCTTGGTTATCGGACATGCAGGATCGATCACACATAAGAAAAAATTCCATATCCTACAAATAAAAAATTTCCCCATATGTAGCGAACATTACTGGGGACACTGTATAAGTACTGTGTTTATGTTGTTAAAGTTTTTTTTTTGGTGATAACTGCTAGGAAGATCTCTAAATAGTGTTAAATGGTTGAAATACGTTTTCGGATACTGATACGAGGCTAGGCCCGTAACGATGCAGAATGCAGACAATGGAATGCAACGAAACCACCGTATCTATTCTGCGCATGCATAGATCGTTACGGAGGATAAATTTGAAATTTAGGACCTCGCTGCTTGAAGTGTCTAATGCCAATACGCGTCCCGGATAAGGTTGTTCTCTCCAGGGTCCTTATTCTTGAAACAGGGGAGCAGCGTTCCCAGGAGAACGAGTGTTTCGTCTTTGTCACATATTCTGATCTGCATATCATTGAGAAAGATGGAACACTCGTTCTCCTGGAAACGCTAACGCTGCTCCCCTGTTTCAAGAATAAGGACCCAGGGATCTCCTTAACCATAAGCGATACAGGGTTACTTAAATTTGGAAAAAGTTGCGCATTACTAAGCTCAGTGGCGTCATGTTTTGATATTTCGGAAATTCCTAATGATTCGGAAGATATCCATAAAAAACCGAATTTTGTCGAAATCGTTTTTATTTTTTTCTGACTCAATTTGAAATGATATCGCAAAATAAATCTGCACACACTGCACCCAAACTTACTCAATCGTCCATTCACACAGGAGGAGCTATGGTATTTCCTCTCAAACTCTAAAAACTGTAGCAGGTCCAGACGATATCCCATTCGTCTTGCTAAAAAATTTACCCCAACCAAGCCTTAATAAATTACTAGAATTGTATAATAAAATATAGGATACTAAAGAATTTCCAGCGCGGTGGAGCCAATCCATAATTCTACCTTTCAAGAAAAATAATGCATCTCTTCCAGACAAGGAATCATTCCGTCCTATCTCCCTCACATGCACAATGTTTATACTACTTGAAAAAATGATAAACAAACGGCTACTCTGGTATCTAGAGATGAATAAGTTACTGAACGAGGTACTATACAGACTGAAGCAAGGCCAGGGTCCAGTTATAAAACACCAAAGACCCATGAGCTGGAAAATAGAGGAGGATCCAGAGGTCAACTCATTGTTCGAGATGCCCTCAGACAAAACAAAACCTATTTTCATCTTCAATAGGCACCTCCGGGTTGCCATTCCAGAGAGGAAAGAATTGGAGAAGCCCAATCCGGAAAGCTACATGGGGTGGCCAGTATCATGGCTCTGGAGTCTTATAAAAAGGACGGGTCTAGACTAGTCTAGAGAACGCACTCTAAGAGCAGATAGGAGATACCACAAATAAATCTGATAAGGTTCCAGTGGTAGAGGACGCCTCTGCGCCATCTCCATTCAAACAAATCTACAATCTACTGAACGAGAATCGATCCAGGTTTCAGACCACAACGTAGTACGAATGATAATTTAGTTACGCTATAGACGGTAGTCACCAATGCATTCTCATAAAAACGAGATGTTGTAGCAGTAATTTTCGACATTGAAAAGGCGTTTGACGCAGCTTGGAAACCGCTGATATACAAGAAATGAACCGAAATCAATCTTGCTGGAAACAGTTCAGCATTTATCAAGAACTTTCTTTCAAACAGAACAACCCAAGTACCTATCTGTTAATGGAAATATATCACAAATGCTCACCCTAGAAGACGGCGTTCCTCAAGGAGCAGTTCTTAGTACTACCCTTTTCAACCTAGCAATAAATGACATCTGTGAATCAGTTAGTGCATCAGTAAAGTGTGGCTCCGTGTCATTTGCGCGACAGACGTTTGCGCGAGGGAGAAAAGCGCGATACGAAAAGCGCGAGGGACAAAACCACGACGGAACAAAAACGCGACTGGATAAAAGCGCGAGGGACAAAAACGCGAGGTACAAAAGCGCGACAGAACAAGAACGCGACTGAACAGAAGAGCGAGAGACAAAAACTCGAGGGACAAAAACGCGACTGAACAGAGGCGCGTGGACCAAAAACGCGACTGAACAAAAGTGCGAGGGACAAAAACTCGAGAGACAAAAGCGCGACAGAACAAAAGCGCGAGGAACAAAAGCGCGAGGAACAAAAGCGCGACAGAACACAAATGCGACTAGAATGAAGAGCGATGGACAAAAACGCGAATGGATAAAAGCGCGTGGGACAAAAGCGCGAGGAACAAAAACGCGACTGGAGTATAGCGCGATTGGATGAGAACGCTCAACTATCTACGAGGAATATAGATCGCTTTCCAAAATACAAGACATTAAGACATTCTCAGTGGCTCCGGTTCAAAAGAGCGATATTTGAAATAGTGACATTAAAAAGGCGACATATTTTTAAAGCGATACATCAAAATAGCAATATTCAAAACAGCGACTTATTAAAATAGCGACATTCAAAACAGCGACATGTGAAAAAAGTAGCGACATATCAAAAAAGCGACATTCGAAAGCGCGATACCTACTTGAAACAGCGACATTGCAGAAGAGCGATATATGTAAAGAACGAGATTTAAAACAGCGACATCAACAACGGCGACCTCTAAGCAAAACAGGGACACAACAAATTGTATCAATAATAATCAAAAAAATGCAGACTACTCAAACTAACCCAAACTAACCCGTTCCCCTAGTGCGATCTTGTCCTCGTAAGTTAGCATTTTATTTGAAAAACAAGATTGACAGTTTTTTTAAATAAAATGCTAACTTACGAGGACTAGATCGCACTAGGCGGACGGGTTAGTTTGAGTAAGTCTGCAATAAAATGCTAACTTACGAGGAATAGATCGCACTAGGCGTACAGGTTAGTTTGGGTTAGTTTGAGTAAGTTTGCAATAAAATGCTAACTTACGAGGAATAGATCGCACTAGGCGGACAGGTTAGTTTGGGTTAGATTAAGTAAGTCTGCAATAAAATGCGAACTTACGAGGACTAGATCGCACTAGGCGGACGGGTTAGTTTGAGTAAGTTTGGAATAAAATACTAACTTACGAGGACAAGATCTCACTAGACGGACGGGTTAGTTTGGGTAAGATTGAGTAAGTCTACAATAAAATGCTAACTTACGAGAACTAGCTCGCACTAGGCGGATGGGTTAGTTTGGGTTAGATTGAGTAAGTCTGCGTTTTCTTGATTATAATTTATTCAATTTGTTCATCACTTATTCTATAGTTCTAAGTAGGACAGCATGATAAACTTTATTAACAAAAGAAACAAAATAAATTAGTTAAAAATACAAATTATGGAATGCTAAGTTTAAATGGTTAAGTTTAAAGCTACTGCTTTAAGGTGATTTTGGACGTTGGAGAAAGGGTATTCTTGGACTAAGTTTAACAATCGAGAATTAACTTGCTTATATTTTGAACTCCTCGCTGGGGTCCTTTATTTGTTGACAGCCATTTCAACAACGTTTTTGTCCCTCGCGTTTTTGTTCCGTCGTGCTTTTGTCCCTCGCGCTTTTATTTCTCGCGCTTTTATACAGTCGCGTTTTTGTTCCGTCGCGCTTTTGCTCTTCGCGTTTTTGTTCCGTCGCGCTTTTGTCCGTCGCACTTTTTGTATCGCGCTTTTCTCCCTCGCGCAAACGGTTGTCGCGCAAATGACACAGAGCCGTAAAGTGTGCCCTTTATACAGGTTACCTTAAACTATATTGTACAGGTAGAAATTCAGCATCTACAATGGTTCTTCTACAAAATGCAGTTAATAATCTTCAAAATTGGTCAATAGCAACCGGCTTCAAATTCCCAAGCTCCAAAACTAAACTAGATAATTAGATTTAGCAGAAGACAAGCACGATATGTTCCGCATATAACTATGAATCATGCTGTTCTACAAGTGGTAGAAAGTTATAAAATACTGGGATTAACTTTTTATTGCAGACTTATTACTTGGGAGAAGCATATAGATGAACTTAAAGCTGACTGCATGCGACGAATGAACATTTTAAAAACCTTAGCGAATCATCATTGGGGAGCGGAAAACACAGTATTGCTAAGGGTATACAAGGCTCTAATCAGATCCAAATTGGACTATGGAAGTTTTGTCTACTCCTCTGCCAGCAAATCTACCCTAAAAAAACTTAATGCAGTGCAAAACACTGCTGTTAAAATCTGTTTGGGGGCATTCAAATCCAGTCTGACAGAATCATTACACTGCGAATTCAATGAACCCCCGCTAATTCTTCGACGTGAACAGCTCCTCTTAACATACTTGGCACAAATATCTGCAAATCCCCCTAATCCTATTCATAATATTCTTATTACGTCCCGGGCAAACTACTCCAATACTGATAAACCTCCTTACTCAATTCCCTATACTCTCAATGGACTCTTAGAGAACATCGATCTTTCTAAAACTCAGTGAATCTCGACATCAATCATACCAAACCTAATACACAGATGTATCCAAAGATGACAACGGAGTAAGTTCTGCAGTCACGACAATAGATTCCTACAATAGCCAGATATGCACTTCCTAGCTATTGCAGTATTCAAGCATTAGTTGATTCGGGTATAGTGAGTCTATAAAATAAAATACTACCACAAATCAATTTTCAATTGAAATAAATGCAATATTAATAGGTAAGAAGTTAGGAAATCAAACAATAATTTAAGAGTAAGCATCTGTGAATAACATCTCATTTTCAAAAATTCATTGGATCTGGTGTATTTTGTCCCAAAACTAACTTATTCGTTAAATGTGATTATTTCACCTGTTCTTTTCCTTTCCAGGTGGTATATTTCCTATGTCCAGTTCCTCATACAACGGTCAAGGTATAGCAACAGCAGCCCGTATGGCTCGCAATGCCATAAACAAAAACACCACCGTTCTAGCCAACTATAGATTGAACATTATCCTGACAGACGGTATGTGCAGAGCCGACAACGTAATGAAAAACTTCATCGATTTCATCGTCGATCAGAACTACTATACAAACTTGGTGGGAGTGCTAGGACCCGCTTGTTCGGATACCGTTGAACCTTTAGCCGGAGTTTCGAGGCATTATCACATCATGGTGATATCTTACAGTGCCGAAGGTTCCAGTTTTTCTAATAGGGGAAAGTATCCGTACTTTTTTCGAACTATTGGAGAAAATCAACACTACAAACATGTTTATCTGGAGCTTTTCAAAGGATTCGGGTGGATGCAAGTGGCGGCTTTGACCGAGGACGGTCAAAAATATACCGAGTATATTTCGTTGATGCAAAACGAATTGGAACAGAATCAGATCAAGTTTTTGGCCAATAAAAAGTTTCCTAGAGAGAGGGAGACTGAATCTATGACTAGGGTAAGATATTCTTTTGCCCCTTTTGTATATTGTGTCATATTATATATATTTTTTTTAGTATTTGGAGGACCTCAAAGAAAAAAACGCACGTATTATAATAGCGGATGTAGTGGACGAAATAGCCAGGCAAGTGATGTGCGAAGCTTACAAGTTGAAGATGACTTCGGCTGAGGGATACGTCTGGTTTTTGCCTATGTGGCTCAACAAAGACTGGTACAACACTACTTATTTTAATACTGAGAAAAATGAGGCTGTGAATTGTACTACTGCTGAAATGATACAGGTAAGAGTGGATTTCTTTATGTTTCAAATACATAAGTGAATGTGCTCAGAGTCAAATGATGAGTAAACTGTTCCTGGTCTGTCTTTGCTCAGAGTAAAGATAACCATGGCAAATAAATTAAAAGTCTCAGAACTATTCGCCATTTGTTCTCATCTTTCCATTCTATCTAAACCAACAGCTACAAAGCTTTCCTTATCATTTCCAGGCAATCACAGGTTACTTATCGATGACCCACGCCTACTACGCTCCCGACAACCAAACGATGCAAGAAAACAAAACGGTCGGAGAATGGAAAGAGGAATACAAAAACACTTCCATAGCTACCACTTCGGATTATGCCGGTTTCGCCTACGACGCTGTCTGGGTGTACGCTCTAGCACTTGACAATCTTTCAAAGACTGATCCTGAAGCCTTATCCGATATCCATTCGGAAAACACAACTAAGTAAGAACTTTTGTGAATTTTGTAGATGAATGAATGAATGAATATAATATATTTATTTGATTTTTCTTTTTATCCTATAGCAAATTGGTAAAGCTAATCGAACAAACCGACTTCTATGGAGTCTCAGGCAGAATTAAGTTCAGAGGAGGCCCGTCCAGATTTTCCATTATCAACGTGTTGGAATGGTACGACAACAAAATGCACTTGATCGGAGAATTTTATCCCAACCTTACCGACAACAAGCCGGAAATTTTAGGCGGACAATTGATCCTGTATCGGGATAATATTAAATGGTTCACACCAGATGGTGAGTGAACTTAAAACAATTAATTTTCAATAATCAATATTTTGTTTTGTAGGCTCTATACCAAAAGATGGTCGTCAACCACCCCCTGAATGCGCAATAGAAAGCCTAGCGAGAGCCCTCAATGTTGAATGCCAAACTGCCGTAATAATCCTAAACGTAATGGTCGCAATATTTTTAGGCATGACTGTGATGGGCGTGTGTCTCTATCTAAAAATCAAGTACGACAAAAAAGTCAAAGTCCAAAAAGCTTATATGGAAAAGTTGGGGTTGCGGTACGAGCGCAAATACCCAACAGATCTTGAAGAATTTGAGGTGCCCAGAGGAGACATGGAGGTGACACGTCGTTTAGGGGAAGGAGCTTTTGGTACAGTATTCGGTGGTGAAGCCGAGTGTCGTGACGGTTGGTCACCTGTCGCTATTAAAACCCTTAAAGCCAATTCATCTACTGAAGATAAAATCGATTTTCTTACGGAGGCTGATAATATGAAGAGATTTGATCATAAAAACATCATCAAACTCTTAGGAGTTATTACTAAAACAGCCCCATTGTCTACCTTAATGGAATATTGCCTTTACGGAGACTTAAAAAACTACTTACTAGCCCGTAGACATTTGGCAAAAAAAGGGGTTGAAGGCTCAGAAGATGTCTCTCCAAAACGACTAACAAATATGGCTCTGGACATTGCAAGAGGGCTGAGTTACTTGGCCGACATGAAATACGTGCACCGTGATTTGGCTTGCAGAAATTGTCTGGTGAACGCTCAAAAAATCGTGAAAATTGGTGACTTTGGTATGACTAGACCCATGAACGACTACGAGTGTTACAGGTTCACGCGTAAAGGCATGTTACCAGTTCGGTGGATGGCGCCGGAAAGTTTAATTTCAGGCGTGTTCAGTTCGGCGTCGGACGTTTGGAGTTACGGTGTCGTTCTCTACGAAATTGTTACTTTTGGTTGTACGCCTTGGTACGGGAAAGCTAACATGGAGGTGGTCGAGATGGTAAAGGACGGAGCTTGTTTGGAGGTTCCTAAAGGAGTCAAACCACAATTGTAAGTATACATGATTGGTATCATTATAGACTTTACATAATTCCAATGGTTTAAGTCCTGAAATGTTGGTATAGATAGATTTAAACGTAACTGTTAATAACTTTACCTCGATACTATTCAACTGCTTTATTATTTTTGTTCTCATAAAAAGACATTGTTACAGCTACAGTCCAAATAGTGACGTGGATCACTATGCATTTAACACACTTCGGAGGAATTGTAAAAGCCTCTGAAAGAGCCATAGGCACTAACGTGATTTTTTTTTTCAATTTTATTCATTCCCAATCTGATCAGGGTACTATTCCTGTTTCTGTCCACAGGAAAGACGTCCAATAGCTAATCCTTTTGGTATTTAGGTGTTTTTGGTGTAATGTTCATCGAACTATGATGTCATAAGTGAAAAACAGTTCATCTTTTATTATATTTATTTTAACAACTTGAAGATATTTTACATCAAAAAACGTCGATCCAACAACCAACAAACCCATTGACTTTTTCTACACATAAAAAAATAAATTAAAAATAAATAAATAAATGATTAATCAAGTTTCTGAAAAGCTTGAATTTTATACTTGCTAAAGGTTTGGTGAAGATATCAGCCTGTTGCTGATTTGTACTCACATACTTCACAACAATTTTACCATCCCTTATGCATTCTCTAACAAAATATTGTTATGTTTAGCTCTTTTAGTTTCAAGTGCTAAGGCCATTTTAATGCAAGACTGGGCGATGTATTCAGCCTCAGCACTAGAAAGTGTAACAATATTTTGCTTTTTTAATTTCCAATAAACAATATTATCATTCATTTTTATTAAAAATCCTGTTACACTTTTCCTATCGGTAGGGTCACTTGCAAAATCTGAGTCTACATACGAAACCACTTTTAAGTTTGATCTTTCACTTCCTTCATATTTCAGACCGTAGTTTTCAGTTGATTTCAAGTATCTTAAAACATTTTTTAAATAGGTCTAATGGCTTTCTGAGTAATTGTTTTGAAATTAGCTGAAATATGAAATAGTAAAATTCAAATCTGGCCTAGTGTTCCAGCATTATGTACATAATAAGACAACCAGTAAGCTCTTTGTAAGCAAACTTTTTATCAATGGAGCTTATAACTGATTGAGTTTTTGGTTGTAATGGAATTTCTGAAGGCCCATTACCGTTATACATATTGAATTTATTTAAAGTTTTTTTAATCAAACCTGTTACTAAAAATGTCAACTTTTTGTTAGGGTATCTTCAACTTTACATCTTTTGGTTAAACTCGTTTTGATAAACTCCAGAGCTTGTTTGTCTTTTGAAAAAACAACAATATCATCAACATACATCAATAGATAATTATGTTCCTCGAAATACAAGCACGGATCTTTCTTGAAGCGTTGGAGTTCAAGCAAAACTAGAATATCATGAAGCAAGGAATTCCAACATTTTGGAGCTTGTTTCAACTCGTAAAGAGAATTCAAAATCTTACATACCAATTTAGTATCTCCTTCTATTCCTTCAGGCTGATACATACAGGGTCTTCCAAGGTTCCATACAAGAACGCAAACTTTATATTTAATTGTTGTATATAAAAATCGTCCTGCACATATAATGACCAATGACAAAAGCACTCTTATAATGACCATACGAGCTAGTGGGGCATAAACGTCTTCACTCAACATACTCTGTCGAAAGCCACATGCCACCAATCTAGCCTGCTTCATTAGAACACCATTGACTTCTTTTTCTTCAAACACCCACTTTGAGTCGATTATTTTCATGTCCTTAGAAACTTCCACATGTGTCCACGTTTTATTTTCTTTCAGAGAATTTAGCTCTTCTTCTATAGCTTTTTTCCATTCACTGCATCTTTTTAATTCTGTGGAACTTCTGATGGCAAATTCCCTGAAGATAGTACTGTCATAAGGTTTGCCTCTTGGTACAAGTCTTCATCACCGTCACTCAATTGGTCTTGTAGGTGTGTCGGTATTTTTCTTATTCTCTCACTTGTTTTGGGGTTTTTATTTCTTAGGTCTTGTGAAGTTTTACTTTCTCTCGTCTTCACTTGAATATTCAATGAACTCTTGTTTTAAATTCATTAAAAATAACATTTCTTGTGGATACTACTTTCTTTTCTAATGGGTCCCATAGTCTCCTCTTTCGGAATCAGTTTGTGAGCTTCACAACCAAACAACATTATCTTATCCATGTTTGGTTTATATCCATACCCTACCTCAGCAGGCAGTTTCTGATTGGCCAGAGTTGAAGTTTCTGTTCTGTTCAATAAGAAAACTGAGGTCAAAACAGCCTCACCCCACATTTCTTTGCCTAATGTACAATCAAATAGAAGTAATCGAGCCTCTTCCATTATTGTCTGATTTAGCCTCTCAGCTATCCGATTTTGTTTTGGACTTCTTGGAACAGTGTACAGCAAATGAATTCCTTTATTGTTACACAAGTCTTTTAATTTCTGAGAAACATATTTTTTTTTATCAGGCGTGTACTTATTTGTGTTTGACATACAAATCGCCCTCTTTTATTACTAATAGATTTTGCTCCCTTTTTAGCACTGCTTATCTCATCGTTTTTGTCTTGAACTCTAGTTTTACCAAATGATGTGTGGCACCACAGTCCGATACAAAGTTAATTTTATTTGAACTTGTCTCATAGCTCATTAAATTTCTATGAAATTTCTCATGCATCTCGCCAGTCAAAATTATATTTATTCCTCAGTTTCATCATTATTATTGCTTTGATTAAGCCGGTTGTTACTTTCAACCATATTTGCGTACACTCTTCTGTAGTTAACTTACTTGGTTATGCCCATTTTTGGGATAAAATCTCATATGTCCAACCTCATCACACAAATGACATTTAAAAGAAAAGTATTTATCTTCATGTGCATTTCCTGAGGCATTCCCAAAATTCTTGTTGAAGCTCTTATTTCTATAACTGGATGCGAACGCAGCATCCTTTGATTCAAGTTCCACACTTTCCATTTTTTGACTTTCTTCCATCAAAAGTTTTATTTTTGACAAAGTCCAGGCTCACCTTTGATTCATCCTGACAAAACTTTACATCAATAGCTGTTACATCTGCTCAGAAACTATCTGGCATTATTGCTGACAACAGCTGGCATATTAACTCTTTGTCATCTACATTTCCACCAGCAGCTTTTATTTGACTCACTGTTTGATCAAAATCAGTAAAGAATGTATTTAACTGGGTTTTTTTCGTAAATTTCATTGACCTTAGCTTCCTCTGCAGTTGTACCTGCATAGATATTCGCCTTTTTAACATATTATGTCTGTTCTAGAGATTCTATGATTTCCTTCGCTGATTTTTTATCTTTCATTGTTTTTAACATGGTGTCTGTAAGACACTAGACGTCCTAGACGATTATGTTTCGAGCCTTTGCAACAATCTTTTTGTAATGAGGTAATACCTACCTGCTGCTCAACAATTGCCTAGTACAACTGCTATAACTATTTTCCTCGGTATTTTCCTTTCCAATGTCCGCGACAATTTTTCACTTCCGATTTTTAACTACTCTTGTTCGCAAAAGGGAATACTTTGATGTCTGTTTCGCTTTTAATATCTTTATTTAACCACTAATAAAAGGCACGAATGTCTTGAATGTTTTTATCTACACTATCAAAGTTATCGGACAGGAAGTAAATCTTTAGTGCACTTTCCTTACTGTCAAACTTGGTACTTACTATTCAGTCCTGTAAATAAGTTCTATGAGGGTTCTTTGCCTTCCTCTTGAGTTTATCTCAAGATATATTTAAGACTTCTAGATTAATTAGATAATTTTAGATTTAAACTCTGTACAACTTTAAATGTATGTATAATGGGGTAAGTGGGTACTTCCTCTTTAGTTTATCTCAAGATATGTTTAAGATTTCTAGATTAATTAGGTAATTTTAGATTTAAACTCTGTACAACTTCAAATGTATGTATAATGGGGTAAGTGGGTATTAACTAAAAATGTAAAAGGTTCAGTTTAAGATCATGTAACTTTCACAAAAAAAAAAGATACTTACAGACTTGATTTTTGGACAGAAAATATTTGGTTATGTTATTAATATACCCTGGTATTGTAGCCATTATCAATTCATTATTAAAAAAATATATGTACCTACCTATGTACAGGGTGGTAAAAAAGTCGCGCATAATACCTGTAACTTTTTAATTGCCTCGTATAAGAAAAAGTGACCTTAATGAAAGTTGCTCATCAGTAAATTATTTCCCACATTTCTACCTAGACCAATTGTTTCTGTCTGTGGTTTGTTTGCCATCCAGAACATCTTTGTTTTTTCAAATGAAACACCCTGTATGTGATTGCATAATTGGATTCTACTGAAAAAAATGAATTTTTTGTATTTAAAATGTTCAGCTCTTTTCAACTACCATCGATTAAGGCAATTTTAGTAACAATCTTTATGATAAAATAAATAAATAGCCTAGAAAATTAAACATTTTCAATGGATCAGGTGTTCGAAATGACAAATTTCAGCAATAATTCTGACTTTTAAAGATTCATTGTCATTTGGACGGTTAACGTAGACTTTGTTCTTCAAATATCCGCACAAAAAGAAGTCGAGCGGAGTTAAGTCCTGGGATCGCGCTGGCCACTCATTAGGACCTCTTCTACCTATCCAACGTCCTGGAAATTGTTCGTTTATGTAGGTATTGCCTGACATTTGCCGCATAATGCGCATGTGCTCCATCTTGCTGGAACCATACCTGTTTGTTCAGTGTATTATTTATACCCGGTAAAACCATTCTGCAAGAAGGAATTATGTGATCGTTGAGGAGGTCCAGATAATTTTCGGCATTCAAATTACCATCTATGAAAAAAGGTCCTGGAGCCACTGAGTATTCTCAGCTGACCAATAACGATAATTGTGTCTATGTACAACGCCAGTTAAATGGAAAGTAGCTTTATCCGAGAAAATTATGTTTGTTGCGAAAGTTATTATCGTTATTGCATATTTCCATCATCAGCTCACAAA